AAAGTCGTGACACCCCCGACTTGGAGTTTGATAAGGTTATGTGTTTCTTTTCTTCCAGCTCCGATGGGGAGTTTAACAGTGCTGTTGATCCACATCAGAGAAAAAAGTCCTTCAAGGTTGTTGGTCCCTGTCTCTCCCATGGCCTGCCCTCACCTCACCTCTCACCCCTCCAAGTCAAGGTATGTAAGTGAGCACCTAGTAGAGTTTACAAAAATGTATTTCTTTACTTTCACCTGCAATCCATCTTCTCTTAAGAAGATCACTGATGTTTCATTTTATTTGGTTCTATCTTTGCTATATTTAACCAGACTTCCTAATGGAAGGTTTGTGGCATATGAATCTTGGAGAGACTTCATAAGCAGATGAAGGTTTCTGGTTTATTAATCAATCCTGTTCTCTAGTTAAGCTCCTTAACAGATACAACCCACTTGTGAGAAAACTGAGGCATGCAGACATTAAATAATTTTCACTAAGATCACATAGCTAGTGAGACCTTGTTAGACTTTGCATTTTACAAAATCAAAGTATGTGATTAATTTATAAAAGGCATAATAGTTCTATTCCTACTTTTCAGAGTTTTTTCCATTGATATGACAGAATTTTAGTTTTCCAGAATAAAGATACTAAAGAGATAGCTCCAAGGTGCATTGTCTTTATGAATCAATTTATGTTACTACTCTAAGAAATACACAACCACGTTTCAAGTCAAGATACTTAGGCTTTATAGAGAACTTTCCATCACGTATGTGTGTGACTTGTGAGTTTTGAATTCTGTAGAGACATAAAAATTTTATCTTAATAAATACCTGCCTGAGGAAACAGAAGGGTTTTCAATTCCTAAAGTTGAATTCATTAGCACAGCATGTAAGCCTTCCGTGAGGGGGCTACCTATCTTTCCAGCTTCTCTCTTTGCAGGTCTCATCCTGACCCCCTGCTGGCTGGCTGTACTTAATCACCAGCATTCTGCAAACATGCCAGCCTGTGTCCTACCTCTGTGCCTTGATTCATATATTCCCCACTTCCTGTAATGCCCTTTGCTCTGTTGTTCCCTGCAAGAACAACACCTTCCAAGATCTAATTCAAGCGTTATCTGCTTACAAAGTCTTTCTAGTCACTATTGCTCCTGCTTGTGCCTTGTCAAACTCCCTTTCATACCCTGTAAGTGCCCCAGATGTAGCAATCATCACATTTTATTCCACTTATGTACATGTCTTTCTCTCCCACTAGATTGTGAGCTGGTGGAAGGCTAGGATACTATGTCTAATAGCAATGTACCTACACAGTTCAAGGTACATAAAAGATGCTTAATAACATTTTATTATATTAAAGGGTGATATCCAAAATCTTCCACAGCCATGCTGAACAAGAAATGACCAATCTTAACAGACATTTAACTGGTCATAAGGAACACCATTACTGGTACACATCAGCTAAATATCAGCTCATCAAAATTTGCTTTGTTTCCGGGCTTCCCTGGTGGTGCAGTGGTTGAGAGTCCGCCTGCCGAAGCAGGGGACACGGGTTCGTGCCCCAGTCCGGGAAGATCCCACATGAGCCATGGCCTCTGAGCCTGCGCGTTCAGAGCCTGTGCTCCGCAACGGGAGAGGCCACAACAGTGAGAGAGAGGCCCGCATACCGCAAAAAAAAATTTGCTTTGTTTCCATTTCATGCCTTCTTTCTTTATTATTTTGATCTTTGTGGATCTGGTAAAATAATAAAAACCGAATAATTTTATAGTTAAGTACATAGTTTTTTCCAAAAGCTGATTTCCTAAAGCAGCTCTGGTCTACACTCCTACCATGTCAGATTCAATGACAAGATCTTACCAGACCTTCATATTAACACATATGCCAAGTTATTTAAAAGAGAATTGCTTTTATTTGCCTCCTGAATTGATGGTTTTGACACTCCCTGCGTAGTTCTACATCATATGAAGTGCTGACACACCAGCTGGAACGCTGAGAATACTGAAATTACAAGCCTTTTATTGAAGGATTATTTATGCAGCAGCCAGATCTTAACCCTTAGTAAATGTTAAGTAAAAATCCACTGTCAGTTTGTGTCCCACATTATTGCAAGGCGAGAAACCAACCTATAAGACCAAGGCAACCATGGATGCAGGTAGGAAAAGAGCCAAACTGCTTAAAGAAGGTGCTTGTTTTTGATTTAGTGATACTCTTCTTCTGAAGACACTTAACTAAACAGGGGTTAAGCTGAAACAAAAGTAAAGAAATGTATGGTGGTATTTTCTGTGATCCCCAAAGAAAGGTATAGAGATACAGGTTTTAGCATCATATTATGAGACAGTGCCTTTTAGAATTTCAGCATGGAGGATCACAAATCATCTCAAATACTACTTAGTCTGTAGAAAGTATTTACAACAAGCCAATGCCCCCTAGAATAAAAGGGAGCGTGTAATGTGGCAGACCATGATGGAGGGGAAGCAATAAAAGAGAAAGCACAGCTTGAAGTGCAGTATAACTGGGTGACTTACACCTCCCTACTGAAGGCAGCAGACTTGCAGTTATAGAACTGCTAATCTGTTCTACTGTTTTTTAATCAGATGTTGGCATTATCTGCCACTAATTGCTTTTTCATTTCCACTTGTAATTATTCCATTGCATGTTTGTAGTGAGAAGCTGAAAATGAGGCAGATCACTGAGAAAGAATTAATTGTTAATGAATAATCATCAGTAGGAAGCCAATTTCATTATCTTCAAAGAGGTAGCCAGAGATTAACCACTAGCTGTGGTTCTCCTACTTTCTGTGCATGACTGTAAAGTAATCACAAATAATCACGCCCTCCAACTTCATCAATTATTTTCTATTATGTGGATTGATACCCATTTTTGTCTTTGTTGTTTAATGATAATGGCAGTATTCATGCTGGGGAGTGCTAATTGGAAGGTGTTACATTCAGTGGGCTTTAAGCCTAATTATTAGAGCATCTTCTTCATTAGCACATGATCCAAGGGTTGCATGGTAGGAGTTGCTAATTTTTCCAAGTTATAAGAATATCATATTGGGAAACTTTTGCATGTCCTTACGCTGAGTAAGACACAGACAATCTTCTATCTGGTCCAAGTTGTGTGGCTACCAACAGAGACTTTCTGTTTAAATAAAATAGGATGTTTTAACCTGATATAAGTCTTTGCACATGAAGCCCACTTCTGCCCTAGAAGCTAGGTCTGCCCAGGACTGTTGATGAGCTCTCAATTCTGCTTTGTTTCTGTACCAACACTTGTTCTTCAGAACGGCTCACACAGCTCCCTGGGATTATTACAGCTCTCAGCGGAGCTTTGCCAGCTATTAATGGAAACATCATTAGATGAGTTTGATAGTCAGGATGGAAGGCTCCTAATGTTTGTTGCCTCGGTGGCCAGGTGATGTCATTCCCAGACTTAGGGAGAAAGTAAGTCTACAACGCCACTGCACGTTTGCACAGGGCTGCGTAACTTCTCAAGGCTCCTTCACGTGTATTGGTTTATAACGTCCTTTCACAGAGCAGTAAGATTTGTTGCTGGTAGACCTGCTGTGACCCCGGAAACTGTGGCACGAAACCTGGCTCCCTTTACGTGGTGCACTACAGTTCTTTAATGAGCGCAGCCAATAGCTGCCCCTCTAATCGGAAAGAACTTCTTCAGTGCCTGTAATCACTCCCAGGCAACCGAGGCCCTATTTCTAACTAGACCCACAGCTAAAGGAAGGTATGATGTGAGGCAGTCTCAAGTGTATTGGACGACAGAGCATGTTTCTGAAACATCTCCAGGAGAGCAACTGGCCAAAGAGATAGAAAAATTAGGTGTAGTCAAAAGAGCGTGGGCTTTGGTGTTAGTCCCACCCACTTTGTTAGCTGTGTGAGCTGGTGTAAATTATTTAACCTCTTGGAACCTGAGTTTCCCTCATTAGGTTGTTATAAAGGTGAATGAGAGGTTATATGTGAAATATTAAACTCAGGGTCTGGCATCTCATCCACACTTGGCTTGGTTAGAAGCAGATCAAGAAGAACCTTAATTGTCTAAGTAACAGGTTGTTTTCTGGAAATAAAAGGAAGGTTTCAGAGAATATTAAGTAAATAACTCAAGTTCTGCAACAGGCAAATCCTGAAGAGTCAGTGACTTAGTATAAGAACATTTACGTCTTGCTTGTGAAAAGTCTGCCGTGGGGTGGTCACGTCTTTCTTCTCTCCAGTCAGCTGGGTATCCAGGCTCCCTCAATCTGATGCTGCTGCCCTCTGATGGCATGGCTTCCCAGATCATCAAGGAAGGGAAAGAGAGAGATGGGAGAGGGGAAAGTGGCTCTCACGTGTCATCACCAGATGTGATGCATTGTGTCGATTCATATTTCTATGTGCCAGAATACAGCCATGTGGTTCCAATCTAGTGGCTTGGAAATGCAATCCTTCTGTGTGACTGGTGTGACAAGCAGCATCATGCATTTTGTCTGCTACGGTGTGCAGAGAGTAAAATAACCAGGAGATTAATTTTGAAAAGATTATACTGAGAGTACATACAGATGGTTGGGAGCAGAAGAAGGACTAGAATCCAGGATGCCCTTTAGAAGAGTATTATAATCACAGAAGGAAAGAGATAATGGAAGCTTGTGAATAGTTTAGAAACTGTGATTAGAAATGTCAGACAAGAGAAAGGAGTCAAAAAGATAAAATTCCAAGCTTAAATGGTGTTTCTATAGAAACACTAGCATTGTACGGGGAGACTAGATATGGAGAATGAGAATGAGGAAAGCATACTAGGTGGTATTCAAAATAGACTAAGTTATATAGCTGGTTGCTGTTATGATCAGGGGAGGAATAACCATAGAGAAGAGGAAAATGTACCTGTGAGAGACCTGGACATTCAAATATCTGGGAGAAAGATCCAAATGTGTCCTATTTTGATTGGTAGAGTCACCGATGAGAAGTACCAAGCCTCCAGACAGATGAAGAGGGTCTCTGAATTGTTGCATGGTGAAAATCCTTCTCAGAACTTCTCTCTTGGATACAGTAATACTATTATTATTTTATACAGTGGCCTCTACTCAGGCACAGAATAACCGTACCTTCCAAGGACAATGACAGGAGGTTCTTGGTTTATCTATTTTTAAATGGGTGATTGGGAAGGAGATGGTGAGAAGTAGGGTAAAGGGGATAGTATACACAGGTTCACCCACATCTTCTGTATTCTTACTTGAACTGGGTAAAAACAGTGTTTTTAATGTTACATGTGAGAAAAATGATTGCCATGGGATTAACCTAATAGGTTTGCTAACTTATTGACAGGTGACATTATTTTGGCATTTGGGCATTGGATTATTCCTAGATGCCGAGCTGTAAATTGATGCTATGGCCTGAAATGCTTTCTTGTGATTAAGTCATAATAACGAAGACCCCTTGTTCACATGCTTTATTTGTCTAACTTGCCTTACTTATTCTGTATGACATTTCACAGGGGTTAACTATGCACTTCAAGATCCTGACCTTATGATGATGTAGGCATTTGAACTGGTTTCCTGATGCTTAGATGCTGTTGCCAAAAGTTTTGTTTCTATGTCTCACTACCGTCTCAATCACTTGACTAATGCCTTTGATGAGACAAGCACTCTACTCTCCCATCTCCAAACTTACCATTCCACTTCACCATGGCTACCACCATGCCACCGCTGCAAAGTTAGAAGGTGATGATTTTATGTTGATTTTATTTTTTATTTGTTTTGCATTGGACAAAGGGATGTGCAAACCGGAGGTAGTATATAATACAAACAGTTACCAACCTTTGGCAGCAACTCCATCTCTTAGAGACTAGACAAGAGAATAACCAGTCCTTGAAAGCAAACATGAACACTTGGAGTAAAAAGGCATCCTGGAAGTAGGGTATGGGGAGTGTCCCAGCCCTACAAGACATTTTCTTCAAGACCCAGAGATAGGAATCAACCCCCAAAGGCTTTATTTATTGGTATTTAATGTTTGTGTATACTAATAATAATGTTACCGTAGACTTTAACACTTATGGGACTTTATTCATGAATTTAGGTGTCTGGTATTGTGCCACAGATATGAAAATGAAGAGGAAGCAGCCCTTGCCCTCCAAAATTTAAACTCATACAATATTATCTTCTAAAGGTGGCCCTATTTTGAAGGGCTTCAAGGGTGAGCAAAATAGATCCAAAATAGAGATTTCAGAGGCCTCTGATTGTTTTCAGGGATAAAGGTAGTTTAAGAGTTAAATAATACGGTCAAAGATTATGAGTTTTTCTGAGTTCATAGTCCTGGACCTCAGGGTGAAATCACTAACTACTCTTTAAAACAGATTAGTGATAAAGTGGGGCTATCACGTATGAAAGTAAATCTTGATACAATTAAGGAAATTCCTAAAATGTCTTTGGGAGCTTTCATTCTGTCAATCAACTCAGCCATCATATATTCTTACAATCTTTCTAGCACCTAATACATTTTCAGTACTTTATGCAAGAAATGGTTCTCATCCTGTACATTTCCATGAAAAGAACTAGGTTCTGAATCAAACCTAAAGATTAGTGGAGAGTCTCAGGAATGAAGTCATAACAGACTGTTCTCACGTGAAAACTTTACCCCTGCATTGCTATTCTCCCATTTTGCCATCTCATATCAATTTTAATAGCTTATGTCTCATCAGAGAGCGGTTATACTCTGACATGTTCCCTCCTGGTGCAAAATGGCAGCTACTAAAATATAAATCACTGCAGAGAATTGCTGGATTTAGAGCCAATTCTTCTAATCGAAAACAACAGCAATGTTAATTTCAGCTTGAGAATGATGACTTTTGTATGGTGATATAATGGTACAGACTATAATGGTGTCAACTACCAGCATAAAATATGCTTCAAATGGGCTACCTTTTTTACATTTAGACTAGGGTGACTTCTGTCACATTTCTTGCTTTGGCATGGAAACAGACAATCTATTAAATAAATATTAATCCCCAGCAGTCCTCAAAACAGGCTCAACCATAGCAGGATTTTAAATAACTTCATTAATTGCTTAACTACCTTTCCCCCAAACTCCTAAGGGATCCTTTGATGCTAGTCACTCTAATGAGTTACCAAGTGATTCATGACTTCAACCTGTTATCATGCAAAATACATTTCCAGTTGGAAATCTTTACAGATGGTTTTGCCGGAAAGTAAGTAACCACTCTAAGACTTTAAAGAGGGCAAATTCCATTTATACAGGGTATGAAGGAAAATGATTTGGCTTTCTTCTTTTTCCTTTTTTTTTTACGTTATACTCTAAAAGGGTGTCATGTGTACAGAAATTCAATTTGGGCAATACATGATCAAAGGAGGAATTCTATTTGAATGGTAAAGACCATCTGCATTATCTGTGGGTGAATTATCCATAACAATAGCGGTATCTATTGCTAGTCCTAACTTTCCTTGTAAGATTTCATATCACTTCTCTCTTCCCAAAGTAGTCATTAAAAACACAGAATGATTTTTTATTAATCTAGACAGGATACAATTGAGAAGGTAACTATTTTTTCAAAGAACAAGAAGAAATGATTTTTAGAAATCTATTTTTCCAAAGTTATGTTTGTTGCTTTCCAATTGAATGGTAATCAAGCACTGAGTATTCTTTATTTTTAATAGTTTATTATTATCGTACTAACACTTCTACACAATTCTTTAAGGTACTGTAAAGCTAGTAAGGAGAAGTGTCCTTCCCGGAGAAGCCTTTCTGGTAGCCCTCTCTTCTCTGTTTTGTTCTAGACTGGCTGCCCTCCAGGAGCGGTGCAAAGCCATCATCTTAGCATGTCCTGTTGCCTCTGACCTGTGTGGAGTCACCCATTTCCAGTGTTCTGGTAGCTAAATAGAGAAAGAGGGCTAAGAGCCTTTCTTTTACAAGAAGATATCTTTGAGTCTGAGGCCTCACTAGAGATTAAACCTTTTATTTCCTGGAAAGATAATTGAGGGGTAATTGCTTAGCTCAAATAACCCTCTTGTCTATAGCCCCTCTTTTGACTCCCATCTTCAGAACCTGGTGTCTCCAATTCTCTAGTCTTTCTGGGGTTTTGTGGCACAAATCAGTTCCCTTTCATAGGGCCTACAGATTTCAACTTTCTATCTTCTTACAGTTTGTTGACGTTAGCTTTACTTTGTGGACTTCTTTTTTTTTTTTGTCTTCGTGGATGATGATAATGTTGATTTACCATCACTTTAGCAGTGTTAAGACACAGAGCAGTGATGAACAGATTCGTTGAATCTGCCATGTTAACTAGATATTGATGTTTGTCAAGTCTTGTCTTTTTGTCAGGGATCTGGGAGTTGACAAACAGTAGGTCTAATTTGAACAGAAAATATCTCCAATCTATATGACCGAAATGCTTTTCTTTTTAAATGTTTCAGTCATGTGGCTCCTCAGAGCCATAGAGGTTCCACAGAACTTCCCTGGGGAGCTAGCACCCAGGCAAGGCAGGAATAAAAGGCTGTTAGTAGGTGGGACTTCAGGCCACCAATCTTACCTCTCACCCCTAAACTAAGAAGTTTTATTTATACTTGTTTGAGGTATTATGTTTTGCATATGATTTTAATTGAACAAAGAGTTTCAAATATATAAAATGTTTGAACCCAGTTCAAGTAAGAATACAGTTAAATGCAGACTCTCCAGAATTCTTGAGAATAAGTGGCTAAGCTTTATGAGATCTGGTGCTTTATAACCCTTTATGTGCTGAAATGTTTGTCTTAATTGTTTTGTCTTCGCTATCACTTATACATAGGCTATCGGATAGGCTTCTGTGTCAGCACACAGTCACATTCACAGTAGAGGCTCTCTGTGCCTTAAAGAGATGTTGAATTGGTGTTGACCCAAAATAGTTGCCGAGTCCCTCAGATTGCACAGCTGCTCTAATTTGTGATTTTTATTTTCTCCTTCTTTTTGCTCTTTCTCATCGTTTACTCTTTTTTTTTCCACACACACATCATCTTGTTTACTCTTATAACAACTTATCCAAAAGTTCATTCTTTTTGCATTAGCTGTTTAGCATACGTAGATATCACAATCAAATAATTATTTTATTCCACATGGTACACTGTCAATTAGCCCACATTCCCTATAATCATCAAGAAAGAAGTGTTTCTATCTATTCCATGCTCACTTCAGTACTAAAGAGTTCATTTTCCTGGGCATGGAACCATTTCAGAACTTTATATTTTCAGAAAACTGAATTATTTTTATCAGAGGATAATTGATGATATGGGAAAGTAATTGATGCAGGTTCTCTATTTCATAGAGAGCCAAACGAGAGGTAGGTAAACACCTAATTTATTTCACAAAGGAACATGTCTCTCATGCCCTTCTTACTCATAGGCAGTTCCCACCCATGAGCTAGTTCTTTGTCCCTCCTTGGTCCACTTCATAGGCCTCCTGCATCTGTCAAATCTGAAAGGCAAGGAATTTATTTCTGAGTCAGTTTTTGGCCAGCTCTTTTAAATCACGTGTTTAAAATATACAATTTCTCAAATATAGAAAATCTATTAATGGACACATCCCATTTTATAAAGAAGTCCAATATATGAAATGTTTGGAGGCAACTCAGATTTTACCAAAGAAGATCTGTAGGCCTTGGAATAGGACCAAGTTTTGAATTATTTGAGGTTCAAGGCATGAATTAAACTTTGCTAAGGGGTCCTGTTTATGCACATACATACTCTAGGGGAGAAGCACATATACCAACTGACCATGTTCATAATTGTTATAATACAGTCAAGTGATGCTTGATGGTTTTTGATTCAGAGGCATATAAGTTATAAAAGTATATGATATTGAAAAGAGATGCTTCCAAACAAGCAGGTGTTCATTGACATTTTTGAACAAATTTTACCCATTAGCTCTTAATTACTAGACTACCTTACTGCTCTAAGACAAATACTGATAGGTAGAAGTTCTAGAACGTATTTCCTTTTTTTCCCCAAACTCCGTAACGAATTCCTCCATGAGTCAAGAACTCTGCCGTGCTGCCAGGTAAGACTTGCTCAGATAACACTGATGTTCTTGATGCTTCTGCAGCCATTTCCTGTGCTGGATCACATTCAGAAGTGACTCAAGGTGAACACTCAGTTTCAGTGTCCTTCCTTTTGCTTTTTATGTCTTTCATCTAAGATAGAGGATATGGATTTTTTTCAGATAGCATGTGTATGAATAGACTAAATCTTTTACTAGAACCCGATCACAAAACACCACTTTCTAAATCAGACAGCCTAAATTTAATAAAAGAAAAGAAAAAGAAAAAAACAAGAATCTTTTAGGTACCAGGAAAGTATGCAGGTGTAGTGAATTTAAAATGAACCAGTTTGAACCATGCCACAGGTCACATTTACCACCAAAGCCAAAATAATTCAAGTTCTGATTACAGCATTCTTGTACAGTTCTGGTAACACCATATTGTGGCTTCACCTGGGCATATTAACTTTTTACAACTGAGATGTGACGGTTGAGGAAAGTCATGTATTTTGGTTTTTATGGTTTATGTGTTTGGTGGTGCTTTTGCAACTGGGAAGATGTGCTGTGGTCTCATCACGCAAAAAAGACACCCATTTATTCACACCCTGGACAACTGTAGCTTAAGTGTTCTAACGTCTGCGTGACTAAGCATCTTGAAGGATAAATCACCTTTCCTCGTAAAGTTTTAAAAGGACTAAGGTTAAATAATTCGAAAGAAAATAAAGGGAACAAGGTCAGACAGATCAAATCAAGATTGATTTTTCAGAATAAGACTTCGTTATCTGTTCTAATAATATAGATTGGTGCTAAAGGATTTAACAAAGTATAAAGAAAATGGAATGACTTCTGAAGTCAGATTATTAGATGAGCAAGTTCGGATTCCTTAGTCACTCAGACTGAAGGATTTGGACCCTGTTCATTTAGCAAATGTTGATTAAGTACTCAAATAATTCATAAGATTTTCTAAGGTACTTGGATCCTTTGAAATAACTAAGCGTCATCTCTATCCTCAAGGTAGAAGGACATGATACTAGGTGACAGAAAATCAATATGAATATAAGCAGATCATTGCATAGCTATGTAGAAAGGAAACAAAGTCATGGGTAAAGCTGGGTAAAGAAGAAAGAGGGCAATTTACAAGAAGTCAAACTTAATTTCACCTAATACTCAGATATGTGGCTGATTTCTTTCTTGAGCACAAAAAAGCAAAAAGGAAAATTATGAGTCATTAACCATCATTTTTGCAATAAGCAGTTTTTGCTGCCAGTGTTCTTAGTGTCCATTTCTGACAATAAATATGTGCCAGGGCTTCCCTGGTGGCGCAGTGGTTGAGAGTCCGCCTGCCGATGCAGGGGACACGGGTTCGTGCCCCGGTCCGGGAGGATCCCACATGCCGCGGAGCGGCTGGGCCCGAGCCATGGCTGCTGAGCCTGCGCGTCCGGAGCCTGTGCTCCGCAACGGGAGAGGCCACAACAGTGAGAAGCCCAGGTACCGAAAAAATAAATAAATAAATAAATAAATATGTGCCAATAGACTTAGGAAGAAAATAATCCATAAAGTAAAAAGTTTAAAGGTTTTTAACGTTATAAGAATTACAGTTCAGGATTTAAGAACTATTGTTTTTAAAGAGCTGGATATATCATGCGACTAGCATTTTTATATTATGCCCATATATATTATTATATATATTCATCTTCCCTTTCATCATGCTCCCTCTCCAGTATTTCCTAGCTCTAATAATTGGCGTCATCGTCCTCCAAGTTGCCTAAGTAGGAAATGTGGGCATCATTCTTGATTATTACCACTCTTTCAGCCTTGATGCCCAATCCGTCGCCGAATTTTATACTTTTACAAGAGTTTGTTGAATCCTTCACTTTTCTCCATTCCCACTGCACTGTCTCTAATCGGTCTTTCCATTCTTTTGATCCCCACTTTCTTCAGTCCTCCAAATTGAAGCCAATGTAATTTTCTGAAGCACAAATCAGAATGGATCATTCCTAGTTTGAAATACTTCAATGGTTTCCCATAATCTGAAGGATAAAGTTCAAAATCCTTAGGATGCTTTGTCAAGCCCAACCTAACCTGGACCCTGTTTTCCTCACCAGCCTCACCTTGCAGTTCTGTGTGCTCCAGCACACATCTTCCTTCCTCAACTGTAGTAATACCGGGAATGCACTGTGGCAACATTTGTGTCTGGGTTTTCAAGCAAACTCTGCCTTTTGCATAAAATGTTCTTCCCTCCCATCTTCCCACAACCTACTATTACCTGTCCTTTGCACTGTATTCATAATTTCCTACCAGGTTTACATAATTTCCTACCTCAGTTTACTTAGAATTTCCATAATAAATTTTTTCTTGACTTCTATGCTTAAGTCTCTAGTGGGAGGGGTCAGTTGTTGTATTATAGCAGGTTCCCCTTTATTGTCATTGCATGTTTACTTATAAGTCTTACTTGCTATGTTACAAGTTAATTGTTGAGAGTGGAAATGGTATCTTATTTACCGTTAGATTATGGTGTAGCATGATGTCTGGCACTCAGTGAAGATGTACTGGAGGAGTTAATTAATCATAGACATTTTATATGTTCTTCTACAAAGCTTTGTTGAAAAGCAAGCAAAAACTATGCTAATGTCTAGAGACAAAACTAAGCTTCCCTAACACTATTTGTAGATAGTTCTTTGGTATTATTCATACTTGACTTTGTTTGCTCCACAAACTTTAACCTGGGCAAGCTAAAAATGATGAGCGCTAACATTGTCTGTCAGGTACTGTGTTAAATTCTTTACAAATATTATCTTATTTAATTTCAGTTACTCTTTTCCCAGCTTTATTGGGGTATAATTGGCAAATAAAATGGGAAGATATTTAAACTGTACATCATGATGATTTGATATACGTACACATTGTGAAAAGATTCCTCCCATTTAGTTAATTAACCACATTTATCACCTCACATATTTACCCTCCTCTTTTTGGTGTGAACGTCTAAGTTGTACACATTAGATCCTCAGGCCTTATTCATTGTATAATTGAGTTTGTATCCTTTTACCTGTATCACCATTTTGGTCAGCCTCCCATCCACTCTTCCTCTCCTCTTCATTTCCTCTCTTATGACCCTGGTTTAAGCTACTATTGTTTGTTTGTTTCTTCCTTTTTTTAAAGGTCAGATTTATTGAGATATAATTTACATAGAGTAAAATTCTCATGTTTAGTTCTACAGTTTGATAAGTTTTGGTAAATGTAAATAGTTGTGTAAACACCACCACAATTGAGATACAGAAGACTTCCATGTTCCCAAAAAGTTTTCTCATGGCCCTTTGTAGTTAATCCCCTCAACCCTCCCAATCAGTGACAATATCTCACCTCTTCTTTTTCTCTATAGTTTTGCCTTTTTAAGATTCTTATATAAATGAAATATTAAAGTATCTAGTCTTTTGTATTGGTGCAGGTAGAGGTAGTTTGTGTTGGTGCTGAATATTATTACATTTTATAGATATACCACAATTTGTTTATCTCTTTACCAATTAATAGACATGTGGGTTATTTCTAGTTTTTGCCTATTATTAAAAAAAAAGATTCTGTAGCATTCTTATACAGGTCTTTGTACAGACAGATTTCTTTTCTTTTGAGTAAACATCTAGAAGTGAAATTTCTGCATCATTTGTTAGGTATATGTTGACTTCTACGGGAAACTACTGAACTGTTTTCCAAAGTTGTTGTACCATTTTGCATTCCCACTAGCAATGTAAGAGTGTTTTAGTTGTGCTGCCTCCTTGCCAACACTTGGCGTTTTCAGTTTTTTTAAATGTTAGCTAATATAGTAGATGTACAGTAACATAAAAGCATATTATGCTTTTAGCTAGTAACTAATGATGTTGAGAAATTTTACATGTGCCTATTTTGCCACCTGCATTTCTTCTTTTATAAAGTATCTGTTCAGATCTTTTGTCATTTTTTTTAAAGAATGTGGTGTTTCTCTTTTTATTGAGTTATAAGAATTCTTTACATATGCTGAATCATTTACTTTAAGAGGTATGTGTTTTGCTAACAGACGTTGGCTTGTCTTCCTAACGGTGTCTTTTGAAGAGTAGTTTTTAATTTTGGTGAAGTCCAGTTTATTACTGTCCTATCTAAGAAATCTTTGATTAACCAGAGGTCACAAAGATTTTCTCTTGCACTTTCTCCTAGAAGTTTTATAATTTTAGGTGTTTGCATACGGTATGAGGTAATGCTAGAGATCAGTATTTCTGCCTAAGAGGTTCATTTTTTGCAGGTCATAGCTCTTCCCACTACACTAGAATCTTCCCTGTTTTGTAGGAGCTTATAAGGTCTTAATATCTACACTTATATTATCCCGAGCCAACAACTATTTGCTTCTATAGTAGGCATAGACCAGAACTGTCATGTTTGACTCTCTCATAGACATTATAAGTAACTAATTTTGGATGTCCCAGACCAGTTATCATTATCTAGATTCAGTGTGACTCTGTTTGGGCATGCCATATCATTGCTGTATGACCGGTGGACACTGAAGCAAATGGTGCTGGAAGCATAGTAGCAAATTAGATCCAGGTGATGTGGTGGGATCCCTTCTCTTGAATACTCATGGTAAGTTATATCAGACATGCTTTCACAGCCTTCCCTATAGAAGGGGGTATCCATAGTTCTAGTATTGTAATATCTTATCAAGTTACACTTTCTACTTTGTAGCATCCATCTTTATCAGAAGTATAAGATACTAGGTAACAAAAAAATGAATAATGACTTTTTCAAAACATGTATTTACTTTTTTATTTTTTAAGATGCCAAAGCAGATTTCATGATAATATATACAGAACTTAGTTTGATTTTTAGAGTTGTTGGAAAACTGGAAGTGAATTTCCCTTCTGGCTAGATGTCTGTTTGTGTTGTTGGCTCCTCCTCCCACAAATTTCCTCTCTATTTATTCTGCTTTACTCCACATGGATTCTATAGATTTGATTTAAATTGCAATGACTTGCACAAACATATCCACCCTAGAGAAGTTTGACTCTTTTAATAGTCTACTCACCACTAATGCTTCTTTTTCATTTGGGCTTTTAATTAGGATGAATTCCAAATTACTAGTTATTCTGATAGAAACACTGCTAATTACACAAAGCATCTTAATAAAGA